GCCTTTGGAGGTTCCTGCCTTTCCCCATGCCGAGTTCCTGCCTGTCTTCTGACTTTGATAATTCTGCAGAGACCCGACACAACAGTGAGGAAGGACAGGTTTGCTTCATGCGCGCTATAGTTGGATCTGTGCTCCAGCTGCTGGGACTAAAAGTATAGTGTTTGCAACTGTTCCCGGGAAAGGGTTGTTTATCAAATTGACTAGTGGCTTTGACCTACTTGGCCCAGGTTTTACCAATACCTTATTTCTACAGGACAATCATGACTGATTCTGCCCTGTCCTCAGACATAGAATATGAGTCCAGTCCTCCCAAGGTGCATAAATCTGAGCACTTGGGTTCAAAACGGGTCAAGGTTGTTTCCATACGCAATCCGACCAAGGCTAAGGCTTCTTCTTCTTCTGGGACTTCCAAAAGAGATAATCAGCTGATTTCTTAATGAACAACTTCAATGTCTCATTTAAAAAATCTTGCATTAATTTTTCATTAATATAAATAATTTTTACAGATGTTCCAGTAAATCATTTTAACAACTGTATTATGTCATAATTAATTTTTGTGATCTTGCATGAACTGATCTACTGTTTCTTCTGCTTCTTTGCACAAATCTGAACTTTGAATCATTTGGTGATTTTTCAATAATGCTCTTGATTGCATTAGTTCAAGTAACTTGCTCCTTGATAGCCAAAATCGATCCAATGTTTTTAATGTTGTAAGCTATTTTTATTGTTGTAAACCATTTTATCTTTATTCCCTTTCTGCCAGGTCTTTGGTAGAAATTGACAATGTAATATTTTTTCTTGCCAGCATTCTTTTTGTGTTTTTACTACATTATTTTTGATATTTACTTTGTTTTTCCTTTACATTTAGTAAGTTCCAATTTTTAATTGCATCAATGCTTGTTCTTGACTATCGTTTACATAATCAGCCAAACACACACCTTTCTTAAAAATGATCCTCTGTTTATCCAAGACTAATTCTGTCTTTCACTGTTTCATTATTTTTTTCTATAAACAGTGAAATGATTTTACGGACACCAGTTGTTTCCAAATATTTGATGATCCAACTATGTGGTAATAAATCAAACACCCTTTTTATACTCAATCAGGATTATATGTATCGGTAGATTGATGTTTGCAGTTTGTCAGAACTGTTTTGTCACTTAGATATTGATATTTTGTACCTCTGCTTTTCCTTTTATTTCCTTTTCTACTGGAAGGATGATTTTTTCTTATAAATAATCTTGAATATTATTATTCCCATGTGTAATTTAAACATGGATTATAGGTTATAGATTAAAGATAAGCATATAGGTATACATTATAAGGCCTCTAATTTCCTCGGATTGCCCCTTTGGCTGGGTCTTTTTGAGTCAGTCAGTATTTATGCAATATTGAGCTGATTTTTAATTGGATGTAAGCTAATCAGATATTTGAATCCCAAAACATGCAATTGATACCCCCAGTTCTTAATCCTTTTCAGTTGATTTAGACAGTTATGCTGCTATTCTTCCATTTGATTTTTACTAAATTCAAATTCTTTTATCCATCCAGCATTTTTATTATAGTCTTTTTGAGTTTCTCATAGATTTTTCCAAACTGAATTGCTTTCTTTTCGTTTGGTTTCCATTTTTAGAATTTCTTTGCCATTTATGCTTTGGTAGAATCGTCTCTAGTCTGATTGATTTTGCTTTAATTGATGATTCATGCCTCATACCATTCAGCTTCCATAGTTATTGCTGTTATTTGTTCATTTATGATTTCCAAAGCTTCTTCAATTTTTGAATCTTTTTTAATTAAGTTTTTCTTGATCCTTACGTTCTTAAAATGTTTGCTGTTTCCTGTTCTTTAAATTACCTGTATCTGATCTTAATTTTTTTTAAATCTTGGTTTCCAATCTGATCTTCCACTTTGGGATTAAGTGCGATTTTGCTTTTGGTTTCTAAATTCAACATCCAGATCTTCTTAACTACACTTCTGTACTGTAGGCAAACTGATTGGTTGGTTCAATATACCCTTGCAAGCATACTATTTACATATCTTCATTATAGATGCCAGGTGTTTCTTGGGCACACTTTTGATGATGGCAGTCTTTGTCTTTCTACTGGTACTGCTATAATTTTCTCTTTTAATTATCATCAGGAAGGTCAATTTATAGGTTTTTTCTGTGCTGACCTTTACTAATTCTGTTGTTATTACTTCTTCTATGTTATCATTTCTGTAGTTCATATCAATATGAAATATATATCAGTATATATTTCCTTTATATTTGCTATTGTTATCTGAATTTCTTTTATAATTTTACTATGTTTTGGGGCCTTCCATTTGCTACTAATATTGATATCTGTATTCCTTCTTTTATATGTTCATAAGTAATTACTTAATGAAGTAATTTGTTTATAGTGCCTCAAATTTTCATTCAGTTATACGTGGCCATCTATCTATTAAATATCCATCTTTTCAAAAAATATCACTTTTTTTCCAGTTTCCTAGTGGGCTTAAATTAATTGAATATATTAAAAAAATTATCTCAAAGCAGTCATTTTCTGTGAAATGTTTAGTCATTAAATAATAATGAACTAGTTAATTTATTTAATGTTTCTATCCAGGGAAATTCATTTTATTCAGCAAGGATCATTTAGAAGATAAATCCTGCTTAGCAATTATGATTAAAGAAATAGCATCAGATATCAGGCTTTTCTTTTAAGAGATTTCGAAAATAATTTTAGAAGGGATTATGGTAATATGTAGCTTCAAAAATATATACTTCATGAAATGTATGTTGACACATTTTTATTTTGAATTTAGATTTCTTATATAATTTATTTTCATATATGCCATACATAGTTTTGTCCCCAGCCGTATGCAAGTTTTATTTATAGTGTTCAAAATTATTGTTTTGTATTTTGGAATCCAAGCTAGTTGGTTATTCTGTTGGCAGAATAACAAAAACTTTTTAAAATATAAAATTGTATTTTTTTTCATTGTATTGCAAATAGCTAGGTTGTTTATCTTGTTTATGAATGAGATTTTTACTTTGTTTTTCTCTAGCCAGACCATCTCCTTGGTCACATAATTGAAATGTGGGTTGATCGCATGGATAATATAACACAGCCAGAGAGAAGAAAGCTTTCAGCTTTGGCTCTGCTTTCATTACTGCCATCTGACAACAGGTAAGCAACACTTTAGTTTTATTGGCTACAAAATACAGTGAGCAGTCAGCCTTGTCAAAGTGCAACTTTCATTTTTGAATTTTCTTTGATTCAAATCCTCACAAATTTGTTCTCATATAAGTTTAAACATACATCCTTTTAGGCTCATATATAAAGTTATTTGTACAGTGCTTTGGATTCTGGCTCCTGACTGATAGTGATATGTGAATGTTTTAGTTTCATCTTTTTTTGTTTTTGTTGTTGACCATAGGAATAAACAGTTAAACAAGTTAAAACAAAACAAACTGAAAACTACTGAAACTCCATTGAGATTATGGATGCTTCTGTTGAGCTTAAGAAAAATAACTCCTTAACTATGAAAGTTATTTTGATTATTGTAGTCAGGTAATCTTCAAGTTACAAATGTAATGGAGCCTGCCAATTACATTCGTAACTCCAAGATCATAGGAGTAAATCACATAACTTGAACGTGATCACTCCCTGCTTTCGCCCATGCATTCTGTGATGACACAGCATAGAGATAACACAAACAGCTGGCAATTCAAACTGCCCCTTTATTGCTCCAAAACTCCCCAAACGCTCCCACGTTTCTGGCAAGTCCCAGAGCCGAGTGAAAAAAACCCCAGACAAAAACCTCAAGTAGGCTCTGGCTGCAATTAGTCCAGCCCAGCGCTGTCTGCATCAAGGCTGCTCGGCAATAAATCCCAAATGTATTTGGCAAAACAAGAGCCAAGCAAGGAATTCAGGGAGCAAAAGAATGCCAACAAGGAATGTAAGGACTCTTGGCAAGTTCAAACGTTGGCACACAACACTTCAGGAACTTAGTGTTTGTTCCCGACAGATGCCCCTCCCCACGGCATCTCCTTAAGTCTCATTCCCCAGGTGTGCCTGGTGAAGCTGGGCGGGAAACTCTCCTCGCATGTGGCCTGCTCCATCTGCACTGATCACGCCCTCTTTGCACTCTCCAAGTCCTTGCATTAGGAGGGGGTGGTTCTTGCTCCTCGTTTGAGTTCTGTCTCTCCTCCCTGCCTACAGGCCTTACTAATTCCGAACAGCTTTGCTGACTCTGCCTTTCCCCAATTTCCTCCAAGGCCAACGGAGCTGCCCTCTCACTGTCAGTTCTTGTTCCAACTCACCTTCCGCCGCAGATTCAGACTCAGATGGAGGCATGACACATTTGCTAATTGAATGTGTGGGTCATTAAATGCATGAGGTATCTCAGGATGGGGAAGGCCATGGAGGCCTTGTGATGGAACAGGCTACCCAAAGCCACCCCAACCCACTGAGATATCTCATACTTTCCCCCTCCCATCCTGCTGTGCCAGACTCACTTACCTTGCAAAGATCTGTATCCTCTGCTGCTGTTTCTTTGCCTTTGAGAGAAAGGTGAGCAGGACAATTTCATTCCCAGTGTCCAGTTGGCTTAAAATGCTTTCCGTGCCAAAAGTGAAATGTTCAGGGGGGCATGATCTAACATGACTTCAGGCACCCATTCTCTGCAAAGCGTATAAGTACCTGAAGTTGTGCGAGATCATGGCTCCCAGAACATTTCATTCCCAGCATGAAAAGCATTTGCAAGTCAACTGGACTCTAGAAGCAACATGATTTTGCTCCTAGCGTCTGATTGGCTTGCAAATGCTTTTCACGCCAAGACTGCAATGTTCTGAGGGCCATGAACTTGCGTGACTTCAGGCACCAATTCTCTGCAAACACAAATGGGTGCCTGAAGTTGCGCAAGATCGTGGTCCCCAGATCATTTCACTCTCAGCGCGAAAAGCATTTGCAAGCCAATCGGACCCTGGGAGCAAAATCATCCTGCTCTCCTCTCCCTCAAAGAAACTGCGGCAGTAAGGAGACAGAACTTTGCAAGGTGAGTCTAACATGGCAGGATGGGAAGGGAGAAGTAGTTGTGGGGGGAGGGGATAGGGTGAATATTGCAGTGCCTCTATGGTCATTCGTAAGGGGGGGCTACTGCCATGATGCTGCAACATTTGTAATTTTGGGAGTTTGTCATAAACTCCCAAACTTGGGGGTATTATCACGTAACTTCAAAAGGTCACTAAGTGAACTGTCATAACTCAAGGATTATCTGTATTGGATAATATCAGTAATAGAATTGAACTCAAATACATCACTTTTTTCATCCATAAACACATTTCCACATTCTAGTGGAAATAAAGGAAATACATTTTTGCTCAAGAGATTTTTCCCATCCTTCCAGATCAGAATGTTGTAGGGCTTAAGCAGCTACTGAGGAAGAGGCAAGACCAGTAAGAAAAGATTATTGTAAATAATAAATAAATAAAATTACAGTTTCATGACTAAGGATTAATAGATTTAGTATTTTTTCTGAGAAGGCCTTAGATTCAACTGGAGAAGACAGCTGCATTCCAGGGCTGGCAGGCAGAATAGTGGCATATGGGGAGCTATTTAAGAATTCTCTTCATATCCTCAGACTCTACAGATTGAATAGTAATAGAGATTTGGTCAATTAAATCCACAGTTTAATTTACTGGATCTATATAAACAATGGCAATTGATACAAATAAGCAAATTGATCAGCCAAAAAAATAAGTTTAATAAATGTCTATTTTTTTAAAAAAATTAGAAAATGTTTATGCTTCGAACTTAATTAACATCTCTGGGTGACTTAGAAAAATAGAGTAAAATAAAGCTTCATAAAAAAACAAGAAAAATTTAAAAGAGTTAATATTAAGTATTAAATATTTTCTCATCTCCCTGATCTTAATGCATGCTTCTCGGTCTATTGTTGCTGCACTTTCTCCAAGGTCATTATGATGACTCCCTATAGTGAGATATCTAATATCCTAGAAGAGGGAAAGAACATTCAAAACTATCTTGGTATGATGCAGAACTGCACTGAAAATAACAAAATAAAAATTAATAGAGAAGTCACTTACTTAGGGAACAGAAATTAAATGTATGGATATAGAAGATGGAGGTGGGGATATGTGGTTGGTAATGACACTTGAGAAAAAATTCTCAGAATAGCAATTGATTGCAAACTGAATATGAGCCATCAGCATAATATGACTGCCAGAAAGGCAAATGAAGTTTTGGACTGCATCAACATAATAATTTACAAATCACAGGAAGTAATTGTTGGTCATGCCCCATTTCAATTACTATATCCAGTTTTGGAGGCCCTGCTACAAGAAGAATTCAGAGAAATTGGAACAGCCACAGAGATTATTCAAGGATGAATCCACAACAAGGATGATCAGCAGATTAGAAAATTATCACCGAAAAGAGAATGAATGATCTAGTTACGTTTAGCCTTTTAAAAAGTCAGCTGAGAGGAAATACAATAGCACTTTTCAAGAATTGAAAATTCCAGAATTGCTGGAATAATTAACTTAACCAATTTGGATTGCATTTTTTATTAGATTTGATCCTGGATCTAATGTCTCTCTATTGTCTAAGTACCGTATTTTTCACTCCATAAGAAAAAAAAGACACACTTTTTTTGCCCCCAAAAGTGGTTGGAAATGTCTATTCGTCTTATGGAGAAAATATTGCATCACAGACTGGGCCACAATGGTTTGCTACACCTGGGGGGAGTGGGTTGGTGCGGCAGCAGTGACAGGCAGCAGTGGTGAACGACAGCAGCAGCTCTGCAGTTGGATCAGCCTCCCAGAATACCGCCAATCAATTTTGTAGCAAAACTACAAAAAAAAAGATTTAAAGAAGTGAAAACTCACCTTGCTGTAATTCCTGGGGGTTTTACCAGCCAGTTGCTACTCTTGACGTTTCCATCAACAAACCATTTAAAGTCTTTATGCGAGAAGAGTGGAACAAATGGATGGCTGCTGGTAATCATGACCTGACACCTACTGGCCGAATGAAGAGGCCCACTATCACTCAAGTTTGTGAATGGGTTAAAACATCATGGCACTCAGTGAAGGAGGTCATTCAAAAAATGTGGCATTAGGAATGCCTTAGATGAAACTGAAGATAGTATCATATATGAAGCTAGCAAAGAAACTGATATCAGTGATTGGGAGCAACTGAGCTTCATAAATTCTGAAACTAGCGATGATGAGTTCTTGGGGTTTCCAGAAAAGTAGAAGACTGCTTGAACCTTAATGACAGTGATGATGGTTTTTAATACTGCTGTTCACTTTACATGGCTGATATATTATTCTGCTATATTTTATTAAATATATTAGTACACCATTTGATTGAGAATATTTTTTTTCTTGTTTTCCTCCTCTAAACCTAGGTGCATTTTATGGTCAGGTGTGTCTTATAGTGCGAAAAATATGGTACATCCCTAACCAGAACGTTTATGTTTCCTGAATCCTAAAATCCTATTCCTGGAATTCCTATTTTGCCCATATTTAGCTTTAGATTGTTCTTCCACATCTAGTACCGTTTCCAATTCTTTACTGCTTGGACCATTTAGAAATACTGAATTTACCCAACTCCAAATTACAGGAAAGGATTCTGATCAACATATTGGTAACATGTTTCTGATCTGTGAATGAGCCTTCATATAGATATAAAATAACACAAAGAAAAGGGAAGAAAAGCCTTGCTAGACTCCTTGGGAAAACTCCTAGGAGATTTAGATGATGTGTCTCAATACCTTTAATAATGGTGGAAAAGTGGAGTGGAAATATTTTAAAGTGGTTCCTATTAACCAAATCTTCTGATAAAACAACATGGTAAATTATATTAAACATGGTAGATAGTTAGACCATTAAGATACCATGGTCAACAGTACCATACATACAGGAATATCAGGAAGATTTTATTTCTCTTGTCTTCTTTCTCTTGGTAATAAGCATCTGTTAGAACAGCCACAGCCATTTTTGTTCTATATCCAGATGGAAAAAGCATCAAGAGCATTTGGAAAGGCAACCATTATGTTCAGTTTCAATGAAAATGAATTATTGGCATCGGGCATTTGTTAAAATTGTCTAACCAAAGATGATTTCTTAAGCAAGCACCTCCTTTCAGAAGATGGAACTCTTTATATATGAAATAATTCATTGAGTGATAATTGACTGGATCAGGCCAATTAGAGGACCTTTTTTGTCTTATTGTAGCACAACACTTCCTCTTCAAAAAGAACTTTGAGAAATCAAATGTCTTATCTACTCAGCAACATTTTGTTAGGACTACTTCATATTCAAAAACAGCACCAGTGAGATCAGTACAACTAACATTGTAGAACTTTAAGCAATTAACTTCTGAAGTTATTTGGTTCTTTTGCTCCGGAGGAAACGCATTAGAGGCAGCTTTGATAGTTTTCCTTTATAGTTACGTTGGCATGCTTTTCTTAGTGGAAAATTATGCCTCCTTCTGAAGCAATATAATTCTTTTCTGGATGCCTTGGGAATGCTTTTTGCTGTGTCCCCATAAAGTGAACACTTATTTATTTTTACTTCATTCTCCCTTGCTGTGAAAAAACAAATGCAGCAAGTAAAGTATAAGGAAAAATGGAAAACCTCTATGGTTTATAATGCTGTCATATTGGCTAAATAGAAGGTGTGCTGCCTGGCTCAAGGGAAGAAAAAGCAAAAACAGACTTTTACAAAAAAAAATCTGGTGGCAGTGAAGCAAAGCCAAGGGTATGTGGCCACAGATTAGCAATTGATTCTTTTATAACTATAATTTTTGCTACCTATGACCATTTCTTCTATGTGCATTCACACATTCTGCATGGACCATAATATTTGTTTTAGTAGTAGTTTGATTTGGGGGAAGGGAGGCTTTCTAAGTTTTAATACAGTAAAACATTTCTTTCTCTGCTTAATAAGCAATTGCTTTCACCATTTGCAAACACCTCACATATTTAATTGCTGTTATATTTAGATTTGCTTCAACCTATTCAGTAGTTGGAGAAGAAAAATATATCAAGTTTAGTTTTAAGTTAGAGATTTTTTTTCCATCTGCATTTCAGAACTGTAGATAAAATGACTTCCTGTCTCTCAGTTTCCTGTATCCATGGTAACTTGATTTCAGCCAGTCATTGTAGAGGAACCGATGGGAAGAGTAGTATTTCCTGTAGGAACAATTGCAGAACTGGTAGGCAAAGAGAGAAATTTAAACAGAAGGAAAACATTTAACTGACAAAATGAGCTTCATATTCTGGGTGAGAATTCTAATATATTTTAAACATAGAATAATAGAAATGTTAATATGAGTTATGTGCAGCTATGAAGGATGAGTCATTAAAGGTTGAAGAATATAATTTATAACCTAAAACATAACTTATCTGACAATTTTGTAACAGAACTTTTACATTGTGCTTAAATAATGCAAGCATTTAATTTTATCATTAACAATCTTCAAATATGGTAAATGTAAATTTAATTTAAACTATAAATGATGCAATAAAATATAATAAAGGTAGTCCTTGATTTACAACAGTTTGTTTAGTGACTGTTCAAGTTAAAATGGCACTAAAAAAAGTGATGGCAGTGTGCCAGGGTCATGTGATCACCTTTTGTCAATGAGGAAGCTAGATTCCCTTAACAATCAAGTTATTAACTGAACAACTACAGTAATTCACATAACAAATGTGGCAAGAAAAGTCATAAAATGGGGCAAAACTCACCTAACAAATGGCTCACTTAGCAACAGAAATGTTGGTCTCAATTGTAGTCGTAAATTGAGGACTACCTGTAAAGCACTTCTAAATAATTGTACAAGTAATACTGATAAAAATAATGAGCTATGAGAATTTTGAATAAGCATTTTTTAAACTTTTTTTTCCTGATAGCGCAGTCAAAGGTGACTTGGAGAGTCAAAGCCGAGATATGTATCAACTGCATCACTTTGAGTCATTTCGGCATATTTTTAATTGTCTTCTGCTGATGATGATCCAAAAGGATATATTTTGTTGTCCATCAGTTTGCCAGCAGTGTATAGGCAGACAAGTTGACTGTCGTAATTCAAGTCTTTCTTTTATTCCAAACAATTTTTCACAGAATACTTTATTTCTGTACTTAAGTGGCAACAATATATCACATATAAATCCCAATGCACTGATAAGCCTCCAGCAGCTTGTTGTACTACACTTGGACAATTCTGGCATTGTATACGTATATCCAAATATATTTGCTGAATTGAAAAAATTATGGTACCTACAGCTGAATAATAATCATATAAAATATTTGTATCCTGGAACATTTGAAGGACTTTCAAATCTTCATTCTTTATATCTTCAGAATAATGAAATTGACTTTGTTTCCGAAGGATTATTTGGTAATCTCACTTCCGTTCATTATCTAATGCTGCAAAACAATCAACTCAGAATCCTTGGTAGCCGCATTTTCTTTGGCATGATTAATCTTCGAATTCTGAACTTAGCAAACAATAAGATTTCACAAATATCAGACAGAGCATTCCAGCACCTTTATAATCTTACAGGCTTGCACCTCGAAGGAAATAATTTAACATGCGTGCCATCCACAGCATTTCTACTACTGAGGAAACTTCAAAAACTTTCATTGTCACGAAACCCTGTTGGGTCAATTCCTCCTTTTGCATTTAAAGGACTTAGCAAGCTTGAATATCTATTTTTAAAAAGTGCAAAAATAAACACTATTAATCCAAATGGATTTTCAGGGCTAGTCAATCTTAAAAAGCTAGTTTTGAGTAATAATAATTTAGTAAACATCAATTCCCATACTTTTTCATTGTTGGATCATTTGAAGTTTTTGCATCTTGACAGAAACAAAATAATTGATATTTCAGGTAATAGTTTTGAAGGAATAGGATCGTCTTTGAAAATACTTGATCTATCTTTCAATAATCTTACATTTTTACAGCCTATGGTATTCAAGCCTTTGATTTCTTTAACTCGCTTATTGGCAAATTACAATCCTTGGGATTGTAGCTGCAAATTATATAGATTGATGAATTGGCTAGCTGCTACTTCTATCTCCGTGAAACTCCTTTGCCAAAGTCCTTCCAGTCTGCATGGAAGATATATGAATTATGCTAGCTTGCATTTGTTCAAAAATTGTTTCAACAATACAAGCCTTGAAATTTTCAAGAACAGTAAATCTGCAGGAATCCAGCAGAGCTTTACTACTTCATTACTGGCACAGAATATGTACCTCACAAGGAATACAGTTAAAGAACAGTTGAACTTTAATGCAAATTCAGTTACATCATTGGTAAGAGCATCTTATACATCTGCTTATCAAAATCTCAATGAAGAAAATTCTAGTAGAAAGTCAAAACAAGAACAAATAGCAACAGAGAAGATACCTGCTAATTTGACGATGAAAGAAAATAAAGTACTATCTCCGGAAGCTGTTTCTGTATCATTTAAAACACCACTAATTTGTTCACAGCAGGTAGAGAAACTAAAGCAGGCTTTTGACATTTTATTAACCTTTTTCATTTTGGCCTGTGCTATGATCATCTTTTTGTTCTACAAAATCATTAAATTGAAACAGAAATACAATATGCAAAAGAACTCTGACAATGCAATAGAATATTATGGCTTTTATCAGGCTGGTACTTACAATGTTACTGTATCTCAGAACCCCCTGGGAAGTTCTGAATTGGATCCTGTTGAACTTTCTAAATCAACGGCCCTTGAAAACCAAGCACAGGTTATCTTATTTGAACATTCAGCACTGTAATACGTTCATCACAATTTTTATTTTCATGTGTATAGATGTAGACTTTTGTAAATGCAAGTTTAACTACTGATGTTAGGCTGGAAGGTTGAAATGCAGCTAATATTTTTTCAACCTTTACATTTTGTTCTTTTCATATCTGCATTTTATTGATTGTAACTATATTTTATCTATAATTACTCAATTTTAATTGATCTCTGTAGCAATTATTAATTATTAATGTTATTTTCTGTTTAGCATTCTGTATAAATTTGATATTAGATGTTATGTTAAAAATAACAGGTTTTTTTAACTGTTCATTACTATTGATAAATTCCTAGAAATAATTTCTGTTGTTTCATGTTACCAGCTATTTTGAACATCATCATAAAGCTCTGCAATATTTGTTGGATAAGACAGCTTTTATTATGAAATTATTGCGTAAAAAATTACATTATCTGGAATAATAAAACAGTATTTACAAGAATATTTATTCTGGTTTCAATCCTCATTTCCCTCTGATAGAAGTTCCAATAGAAGCACTTTGCATTTTGGAGATTTTTGGTTGTTTTTTTTAAAATAGACATAGCACTTCTGCTAGAAAAGGCAGCAGCAGATTTTATCAACTTCCTCCCATATAATTTTTGTTGCCCTTTGAAAAATTTGGTGGAGGTTATGTGGGCTCCTTGGTGCTCTCTGAGCTTGGTTGTTTTCTTGCAGACATTTTATTACTCAATTAAGTAACAACTTCAGTTCTGAAAGGGAAGTTTGTTATCTGTTTGTATACAAGTGACTTGCCCTATCAGTGTGGTGTAGGAGCGTACAGTAGTGTATGGTATCAAAACTGTAGAAAGCAGGAGGAATAAGAGAAAAGAGATTTAGTTTGAATTTCAGTTTCTTTCAAAGCATATGCTTCTTCGATTCAAAAAAAAAAAATCTAGATGATGTACATGGGGTAATTATAATGTTCCAGGAACTCTACTTTAAAAACAAATACAGCAATGTGTATACATCTACTAATGGTGCAAAGCAAGCGTCGTTTTTATATACTAGAGTGCCTTATGGCCCTACATAATTCTAGTTGTGAATTTTTAGAAAATAAAAATGATCCATGTTGCATTTCATTGATTTAAAAGTGTGCTCCTATTATTCCAACAAGAAAAAAATTAAGGTAAATTGGAGAGATAAAGAATATCCAGGATTCATAGAGAGATGGTGAATAACTGCCTAATTCTGGTAAATGTCTGTTTCTGAGTTACACTGATTTGAATTTTAATATTCCTGAGTATTGTCAAGTTCTGCTGTCAAAATGGAATATATATTTGAGGCTTGGGAAGTCCTTAGCTTTATGGATTACGTAGGAAAGAGTTGAGCAGGGACCCATCTCGCTGGTTAAACAAAAAACATGTTATTAAACATACATATGCTGATGTGACTGGATTGTCAAGATAGATTGTACTACACTTGTGTAACAAGGAAATAATTGCAGCCTAACTTTGTTATACTTGGATTGTAGTCTATTTAACTAGCATGTGCGCTCGCTCTATCTCTGAATTGCAACTGTTTTCCATGTAGAAACTATATAATACTGGTTGTTACACAATATTCTGAAACCAGGATATTCTTAGTTTTGGGATAAACGTGAGTGATCAGCTAAGCATTAAACAAAGAAAAGAAAACTGAAAAGATTTAGTAAACGTAATGCTTAACCTATTTTCTATTTAACTAAACAATTAAATAATTTCCATGTCTTTTCTAGTATTGTCCAAGATAAATTTTGTGGTATCATAAATATTTCAGTTGAAGGGTTGCATGATGTTATGACTGAAGATATAGAAACAAGAACATTCAAAGAGTAAGTAGAACTTTACTTTGCATGTGCATACTGCAGTGAAGCTACCAGATAAATAACTCATTTTAGCCTAGTTTGTCACTAGAGGGAGTAGATGCATTTTGATATTCTTATATGGAAATATTACAAATGTGATTATATATTACTGTTAGATTGGCTCATAAAGATAGATAATACTTTAAATGCATTTTCAAGATTTTCATTTCAAGTTTTTATTGTTCATTTTGCACAATACTCTTCATGCATACTTCTGTAGAAGTCTTTAGCTTTGAACAACATACATTTATACAATTCCTTAAAATCCTTCTTAGGATGATTGGAAGTCTAATATATTTGCATTTTTTTTAGTTGCATGCTGATGTCTAGTTTTGAAGAACCAAAAGTGATAGAAGAAGAAGAGCCACCCACAGAACAGGACAAAAGAAAAAAGATGGTATAGTCAAATTCTTAATTATATTTATTAACCTTCAGCAATTTGTAAGCTAATTTTTTCTTCCTCCTAGAGGTATAATTATTCTCAGAGGAACTGATGATAAAACATTGAACCCCCCCCCCCCGACATTGAATGTTTGAGATGGGGGAGATATTAAAGGAGACAAAATAATAATTGCACATCAAGAATCAATAAGAAAAATAATAATCCAGAGAAAAATAATCTATGGTTCAAAATTCAAAATCAAGTCAGTTTTATTTCTGGCTTGCTATTGGCTTGAGAACTGAGAGAAGTGACTGACCCAAGATCACTCACTTGGTCTTGTGGCTAATATGAGATTAGAACTCAGGGTCTTCTGGTTTCTAGTCTGTCAATCGCTACACTAAATTGACTCTTACATCTATAGTTGTGTTCTGATAAAAGAGTTATAAGAAAATAAAAATAGGAAAATTCTATCCATCCCCAACCAGAAGCATATCTAAATAGACCAATAATATGCTGTTTCTGGTTCATCTCATTTTGACAATTCAGATGAAAAACAACTTTATGCTATCATTTCATCTGAGAATGCTGGCTACTTAGTACTTTTTGGTACTAATATAAAGAGATGTGCAAAATATTCCAAAGTTGAAGCTTTCCAGTACAAAAAGTCCCCTTTCATTCTGACCACAGAAAGTGTATACAGAGGAATAATCATCAATTGGAATCCATTGACTTAAGGCTGAGCAATTTGGTGATTTCCAGATGTTTTGGACTGTTTCTGCCATGTCCCTGATTTACGAGTCTTAGCCAGTGTCAAGAAAAGTCATCTGAATCATCTGTGGAACAGCATTTTACCTTAATTCTGAGATGCCCTGTTGCTTTCTACTATGTCTCCATGACAAAAAATCTCTCCATGTGAAGCCCATAAGGAAGGTTTTTTTCCCCCTAATTATTCAAAATGCTACTTAAAGCATTCTTCATAGGACCTTATAAAAATCTGTGATAATACAATACTTGCCTCCAGGCTTACAGTCTAAAAATCATTAGACAGCAAAACGTGTAATGGTAAAGGCAAGATAAAAGCAAGCTCAGCACAGATACTGAGAATTCAATAATAACCAGCTGGGTTGGAAGCAGCTCAATAGATTAATGAAGAGGTGGTTGCTGGGTGCCAGTTGAGAGAGGGCCAAGATAGTTCTTGCAGAGACAGTGGTATTATTTTCTTTTCAGTTTACAAATTATATAAACTCAGGTATCCAATGTACTTCTTTCTTAGCAATGAGTATTTTAGCTAAATCAAATCTTTAATTTGGGACATTTTATATCTACCAATATTTTTTTAAAAAAATCTATATTTTTAGCTTCTAATGAAATATTAGATATTCTGTAAAAAGTTATGGCTATCTAGAAATATTTTAGAGAAGCTGATAATTACAAAATAGCTGACAGTGAATAAATTAAAATGACAGAAAAAGTGGCTTCTTATTGTTGCCTAAGGAGATTTGATGCTATTAATAATTTGACAGTTAAACTGTACATAATGTGTTATCCCTTTATATGTCTTTGTTCAAATAACAATACTATGGTAGGCATACAGCACCGAATTGTTAAAGTAATTTGCAGGGAGAAAAGTGGAGAATTTAGCAAGCTGTACAGTAATTCTTCAATGCTCTTCAAGATCATATTATCACAGAGATCACTCTTACACCATACTAGTATAAATGCAAGACATTAACAATATCCATTGACAGCAAGATGAACATAATTCAGTTTTTTTCATCTTTCATAGAAGAAAAGTTCAAAGACTGCTTACTATTTCAACATGCCAATACTAATTTGAGAATGTGAGAGTATAAACCAATATATCTGAAGGCACTGATTTAAGTGGGAATGTAGAGTGAGGTAAAAAGCCCGAAATTAAAAAACATTCTTTGAATAGGAAAGTTCCAATATATGAAATTAAAAGCAACTCTACTTTTCTCCTAAGGATTATTCTTATGATATAATTTTACATTATATAGCTTCATTTAAATATATATTACTCTTCTGATTGGCAATATAGTGATTTCACTTCTGTATTACTCAGAAGTCTCAGAAGTACTTTTAGTCTCAGACAAATATAGAATACTGTTTGCTGCATTAATACAATTTGGTTTTCAATCCTGCTGTAAATCTTGAGACTAGACACTAGATTTAAGTAATTCTGAATCACTGTTAATATCCAAACTGGTATATATGAACTTTTTGACCTGAACTTTAACTTAAGGGTGTTTGTTTGTTTTGGTGCCTTCAAGACAGTGTTAATTCCTAGTGACGACTTGAACAAGTCCTGCAACTTTCTTGTAAAATTTCAGAGGTGGTTTGCCATTGTCTCCTTCCTAGGCCTGAAAGACTGGCTTTGTGCCTAAGGCCAGATTAGAAATTGTGGCCTCCTGGTTTCTAGCCTGAATTCTACCAGTCTTACCAAAAGGATTAGGAAAGAAACATGACCAGACAAGCTAATTATACCTTATTGTAAGGCCACATTAAGATCTTGCATGTGTGAAAGTCCCTCTTTCTGTTTTACATCCTGAGAAATTAGAAAGGGTCTCTTCTAAGCTTCTTGCCCCTATTTAACTGTGGACTATGTTGGGTCTTACCCAAACATTCTCTAGGCAGCCTGTGTCCCAAGTCATTCCCACATACCATTACACAGTGCCTTAACCACTTGAGACTGCAAATTCTTTTTTTATTCTATTGGAATTATTTTGTGTTACTGTGCCAATACTAAATTTAGGGAATGGAATTGGAGGAGGGATGTCTTTGCAAAGAAGACTTTTCTTTCACTATTTTAAGCTGAGGAATGGAAATATATAATACACAGGTAGTCCTTGACTTACGACCAGTTACTTAGCAGTTGTTCAACATTACAGTGTTACATTACAGATTCCGAAGTTCCAATGAGTGGGCCCTCCTGGCTGCATATTGGGAGCTCAGCAGCTGGTCCACATTTATGTCATGTAACCACATTTTATAACATTTTGCCAAAAAAGTTGTAAAATCAGACTAACTGATCTGTTTTATGACCATCACAAATTACAACTGTAATGGACAGGCTAAGGTGAGGACTACGTGTACTTAGCCTCTTTATAGAGATTCTTTTTGTAGGTGTAAATTGCTGCTTTCATTTTTTTTAATATCATCTTGAGCTATAATTTTATTTGATTTATTATATACTTTTGTTAAAATACAACTTTAAAACTCAACATTAGGGCTTACAATATTATTATCAGGGACTGTCTATTTTTAATTCACTTTCAATTCTTTGTTCATGCTGCAAATTTCACCATAAATTTCTCAGAAAAAAATTGCAGTAGTATATGGGGGTAAGGTATTGCCTGGTTTTGTTTTTTGCTTTTGGTTAAAGATGACTTTCTGATAACTGTGGAGCAGTATGTTTTTGTTCATTTCTCGTAGAAAATTGGATACATAGCTGAGGTCTTGAAGTTATTAGCAAATAAGATGCCTACATATATGTTGTCAAAAAAGTAATTACATAGAGGGAGGCACTGTTTTGCTGAAAATTATATTTATGAAGTTCCAAATTTAGAAATATGAGTTAAATTGGCATTCATCATATCACTATAGAGAAGGATGATAACCTGCATACGAAAATTTTCAGTTTGCTATCTAGATATACTTGTTCATGGGCTAAATAAAAATGCCATTTTCCTCCCTTACAGTTTTCTTGTGTTTTTAAAACAGGTTAAGCATGGATAACTCTTTGAGGACTGCTACCTTAAAGGGCACAAGATTTCTATAACTTATTCTTTTAATAGCATTACTAAGAAAGAATTTTCTGTAAAATATATAGTATCATAAAGCTTACAGATAATGTTACATTTATCTTTTGTATGTGAGTAAAACATCTCAAATGTTTTATCGGTCTGTTGGGCTGTTAACAACTGTCTTGAATAACTAAAGACAAAAACACAGATATGAAGTTCACAGTACATAATTATGTTATACAATAGGCACAGAATCTAAGTGTATTCATTTCAATTGATGAAGTAGCAGAAATTTTCTTTTCAAGGATTCAACTGGTAGACTATGTTTTCAGTGTAAGCAGTACAGGAAACAAAAGCCTTTTTCACTGCCATTAAGATTATAAGACTGATTATTACAGGTTTGTCTTTTTTCTTAAATTATATATTTTTCTTATCTTTATCCTGCAGCTTGCACTAAAGGATCCAGTACACTCTGTGTCACTGCAGCAATTTGTATACGAGAAACTAAAAGCACAGCAGGAATTGCTGGGAGAACAAAGCTTTCAAGCTCTTATGGAAACTGTAGATACAGAAATAGTTGCTCAACTACAAGACTTCTTACAAGGATTCTGAATAAATGGAGACAAAATCTGTATCTTCAACATAGAGGCAAACTGAGCAGCTTTCCATCTCATTACAAAATTAGCTTAAATAGAGTGTTTCTGTTGGAAATTAAGAGA